TTTTTGGTATTTTTAGTAGAGACAGGATTTCACCATGCTGGCCAGGCTAGTCCTGAACTCCTGACTTCAGGTGATCCACCTGCCTAGGCCTCCCAAAATGCTGGGATTATGGGCGTGAGCCACCGCGCCCTGCCAGGAAATTCATTTTCTAAGCCTCAACTTTTAAGCACTGGCAACCAATCCCAAAGTTTCTTCAAACACAATGTGGGCCAAATAACACGTGTCAGTGGGAAGTTTAAGCCTAAAGTACAAACTCCGGAGCCCAACACAAATATGGGTTGGACATGGCCTGCCTCCTTCATCTCCCCCAACACATGCGCGCACCAGCCGCTCAGAAGGGATCCCCTTCCGCATTCCTGGACTTTGCTCAGATCGTTCCCTCCTCGTGGAACACTCTCCACCCTTTCCTTGGCATCTTCGAGATCCTCATTAAATACCACGTCCACCCCTTGAGCAATCTTCCTCATCCCCACAGCCATTCTTTGGGCGTCCTCCTTTGAAGTCCTGGCATTAACTAGGTCAGATATTTCTTTGTTTCCCCAAAGGAAGAAAGGGGAACTAATTTGAAGTGCTGAAGACTTCACATATGTTATTCCTATATAATCCTCACACCAGGTCCGCAGCATGGGCGTCATCTTTATCTTCCCCTTACAGAATACAAAGCCACGCCTCAGAGGTTAGGGGATCCCCCAAGATCACACAGCTTTGCCGAGTGGGGCAGAATTTGGAAGCCAGGTCGGGTCATTTTCCAAAAGCCAGGGACGCTGCTGCTCTAACTACTCTACAACACTGAAATTTCACCTCCCTCCATCAAAGTATTTGGTTAAAAAAAAAAAAAAATCCAGGCTTGAAAATACGTGCGTGTGCGTCCCTGCGCGCAAACACACACACACACATCCTATATAATATGTAGATACACACACACGTTATGTACATGTGTATGTATAGACTAGCAGAGATCATATATTAAAATTACTGAAACAAATCCTCGCAGAAAAGTGACAAGCATGGAGACAGCCGCAGACCCCTCGGAACCAGCCCTCTCCACCAGCCTGCCAGGCCTTCGCCCGTGCGGTGCCTCGCAGTCGCACAGCAGGAAAAAACGTCCCTCTTTCCATCAGAAAGCAGAAGCCAGTGCAAATGCAATCAGGATAACTACAGAAGGGAGTTGCAAGGCCGCTGCCGCCGGGTCCGCAAGGAGCGCGTTCGCCGCCATGCCCCCCCAGGCACCGGAGCTCGCGGGGGGTCGCGGGGGTGAGCGTCCTCGGAACGTCCCGGGCGTGCGCGGCGCCTCCCTGCGCAGGCGTGCGGCGTGCGGCGTGCGGCCCGCGGCGGTGGCTGGCGCGGATACTCACGGCGTGGCGGGATGCGCAGGCCTCTGCGATTCCGGTGTACAGGCCGCGGCGGCCGCAGAGCTGGGCCAACTCCCCCGGCCGCGGGGCCCGGGTGACGGTCTGGGCCTGGGCCGGGCTGGGGGACGACGGCCAGAGTAGGAAGCCGGCGGCTGCGCGGCGGCCGAGAGTCCACATGCTGCTCCCGGTCTGCGGCCCGCTCCGCCCTCCAGCACGGGGGCGCTGCGGCGACCCCTGGTGGCCACAGGCCGCAGGAGGTCTTCTGTGGGGAAACAGCCAGACGTTAGATAGACCTCAGGAAGAACTTCCCAGCTTAGCCCTGTTCGTGCATTTAACAAAAATGGATAGCCTGCCTTGTGCAAAGCACGGAGTGCAACCAGGACCCCTGACCGCGGGGAGACTGCAGCCTGGTGACCCGCCGCTTAAGAAATTCTAAATAGAAGGGACTCGGGAGCTGCTGTCTTTCTGGGAAGTGGGTGCATTTATGAATTGAAGCTGTTGGCCCCCAGTGTGGGTTACAGCAGGTGGGCATGTGGGGCCAGGAGATGGATGCCTTGTGTAAATCTCTCTACCCACTTGCTACCTGTGTGACCAGTGGGCAAGTTAATTAACCTCTCTGTGCCTTGTTTATAAAATAAGGTTTATAAAAGTTCCTACTTCATAGGATTGTAGTAACGATAAAATGAGGTAAGCCGTGTAAAGTTTTTTTGGACAGGGCTTGGTTCCTGTTAAGCGCACAATAAATGTTATTGTTAATTGTGTTTATTTATTTATTTGTTTGTTTGAGATGCGGTCTCACTCTGTCACCAAGGCTGGAGTGCAGTGGTGTGGTCCTGGCTCACTGCAACCTCCCCCTCCCTGGCTGAAGCAATCCTCCCATTTCAGCCTCCCAATTAGCTGACGCTATACAGGTGTGTACCACCACACCCAGCTAAATTTTTGTACTTTTTGTAGAAAGGGGTTATCATTATGTTGCCCAGGGTGGTCTTGAACTAGGCTCAAGCAGTCTGCCTGCCTGGGCCGTACAAAGTGTTGAGACTACAGGCATGAGCCACCGTGTCTGGACTATTGTTAATAGATTTTGAAAGAGAATTTTACTTCTGATACATATTGCAAAGGGATACAAATTGCAAACGTTTTCTTCACATTTTATATATGCTTTAGAGGATGTCAAATGTGAGCCGAGTGTGGCAGTGCATGTCTGTAGTCTCAGCTACTCAGGAGGCTGAGACAGGAGGATCACTTGAGCCTGGGAGCTCAAGGCTGCAGTGAGCTATGATTGTGTTTGTGAATAGCCACTGCATTCCAGCCCAACCACGGTAACAAGAACTGTCTTAAAAAAAAAAAAAAAAAGAAAAGAAAAAGAAATGTCAATTGTGTACACGTTTCATGGCAAAGAAGATGGGAAGGTACTAAAGTTCTTCCAGAGCCACTTTGTGAATCCTGAAGAGAGACACATTTACATACTTAGGATGCTAAATGACAAGTGTCAAGAGGAATGTAAACCAACAGGTATGAGTCCTGAGTGGGAGATTATATAGAGCTAGAAGTAGGGGGAACCAAGGAAGTATTCATGGAAGAAGTGGCATTTGCACAGGGCCTTCAAAAATAGGGTGGAGGAGGTGGTCCAGGTCGTTCTGGATGAGAGACATCTTTCTGTGTTTAATTAATTCTAGGAAGCTGCTTATTAGGCACCGTTATGTATATGCCAGGCCTGGAGAAATTACTTCCCCTCTGCAGACTATCTGGAGATGCTTTTGATTGTCACAATGGGCAGCTGTGGGGTGGGTGTGTTCTACTGACATCTAGTAGGGAGAGGCCAGGGTTGCTGCTAAGTATCCTATGATGTGCAGGACAGCCCTCCACCCGTGCAGCAAAGAACTATGCAGTCCAAAATACTGCCAAGATGGAGAAGCCCTCCTTGAAGCCATAAAGGGAGGACCCATAGGCATCAAAGGGGAATGTTTTGTTGCCAGCCATGGTCTCAGACTCTGCCACACCAAGTGTGAGGCCCTTGCTCACATGACCAGAACTGCATTATATACACAGAGAGAGCTGCATCATCATCATCATCATTATTATTATTTGAGACAGAATCTTGCTCTCTTGCCCAGGCTGGAGTGCAGTGGCACGATCTATGCTCACTGCAACCTCCACCTCCTGGGATCCAGGGATTTTCCTGCCTTAGCCTCCTGAGTAGCTGGGATTACAGGTGCCCACCACCATGCCTGGCTAATTTCTGTATTTTTAGTAGAGATGGGGTTTCACCATGTTGGCCAGGCTAGTCTCGAACTCCTGACCTCAGGTGATCTGCCCACCTCAGCCTCCCAAAGTGTTTGGATTACAGGCGTGAGCCACTATGCCCAGCACTGCTTCATTATTAACTAGCATGCTTAGCAAGTTCTGGCATAGAAAGGGCACTAGCAAATGCCCCCCACCCCGCCCCTGCTCCCTGCAAAGTTGATATCCTTGCTCCATCTTTTTGGCCAAAGAAATAGACCTAGAGTAACAGATCAGAGAAGGTGAAGTCTTCACAAGAATTTGTCCTTCTCCAGTTTCTTGGAGGTAGTCAAGAGGAATCAGGAACACTTAGTAAGAAGCTGAGGCACTGTGGCATGGGAGAAGATGTTGAGGGACTCTGTGGTACACTGTGCCTTTTCCTCTCGGTTGCTTTTAGCCCTAAGTAGACAGATCCTAGAACCTGTCAGGTTATGGGTGGGGGAGGATTTCACCAGACTTCACATGCTCTACTCAAGATATTTTGATAGGATTTATCGTAGGGCAGTGATTCTCAAATGTGGTCCCTGGGACAGCAGCCTCAGCATCACCTGGAAACTTGTTAGAAATACAAACTCTCAGGTCCTGTTCTAGACCTACTGACTCATAATCTCTTTTATTTATTTGTTTGTTTGTTTGTTTGTTTATTTATTTTTGAGCCAGAGCCTCTGTCATCCAGGCTGGAGTGCAGTGGCACGATCTTGGCTCACTGTAGCATCTGCCTCCTGGGTTGAAGCGATTCTCCTGTTTCGGACTCCCAAGTAGCTGGGACTACAGGCGCATGCCACCATGCCCGGCTAATTTTAGTAGAGATGGTGTTTTACCGTGTTAGCCAGGGTGCTCTCAATCTCCTGACCTCGTGATCCTCCCACCTTTGTGTCCCAAAGTGCTGGGATTACAGGCGAGAGCCACAGCGCCTGGCCTGAATTACAATCTCTGGGGTTTCGAGGCCCAGCAATCCATGGTTTAACAAGACCACCAGGTGATTCTAATGTGCTTTAAAGCTTCAGAAGCACTACAGTAGCATAGGCCTTGGGCAAAAAGTTAAGCCAGTGTCACCAGGGTGATCATTTTAAATCTAAAAATCTGAATCTAAAATGTGACTGTAACCATAGCCCTCCACTTTCACCATCATCAAGATAAATCCCAGCTTTCTTAACATGACAGAGGAAGCTTTCTTGCCCACCTTAGCTCTCCCAGAGCCCTTACCATTCTCCTCTGTACACCCCTCTCTGCATATTGGGAGGCATCTAGACATCTTTGCTTCTCCAAACCATTTATAGTTCCTAGAACAAACGATGCTTTTACCCTCTCTGGTTATCCTTCATGTTATTCCTTAGTCTTTCATCTCTTTGCCTGGTATGCAAGATTGGATCTTCCAAAGAGGACCACACCAATATTTGTCCCATATCATACGCTCTTTGGGACTTTGACACTCTTGTTACTCAGGGATGGGATCTATTCTCCTCTCTTCAAATTCAGGTGGGAGCTATAACTATTCCAACCGATAGGGTACTGCAGAAGTGATGCTGGTGACTTCCAAGTCTAGGTCGTAAAAAGGATGCAACTTCCTCCTAACTCCCCCTTTTTGTTTGTTTGGGTTTTTGTTTGTTTGAAACAGAGTCTCATTCTGCTGCTCAGGCTGAAGTGCAGTGGTATGGTCATAACTCACAGCAGCCCCCAGCATGCCCAGCTACTTTTTGCATTTTTTATAGAGGTGAAGTTTCATCATGTTGCCCAGACTGGTCTTGAACTCCTGGGCTCAAGCGATCCATCTGCCTTGGCCTCCCAAAGTGCTGGAAGTAAAGACTGCAGAACTACAGAGCCACTGCGCCCAGCCTATATTTTGTTTTAAATAAAGATGAGAAAATTTAATTTTAACGAGTAGAAAAGTCTTAAAAATGAGTCGGGCATGGTGGCCTATGCCTATAATTTCAGCATTTTGAGAGGCCAAAGCAGGTGGATTATTTGAAGTCAGAAGTTCGAGACCAGCCTGGCCAACATGGTAAAACCCTGTCTCTACTAAGTAAAATGCAAAAATTAGCCAGGTGTGTGGCAAGCACCTGTAATTCCAGCTACTCAGGAGGCTGAGGTAGGAGAATTGCTTGAACCCAGGAGGAAGAGGCTACAGTGAACCGAGATTGCAGCACTGCACTCCGCCCTGGGCAACAACAAAAACAGGCCAGGTGTGGTGGCTCACACCTATAATCCCAGTACTTTTTGGGAGACCAAGGCGGGTGGATCACCTGAGATCAGGAGTTCAAGACAAGCCTGGCCAACATGGCGAACCCCATCTCTACTAGAAATACATAAATTAGCCGGTTGTAATGGTGTGTGCCTGTAATCCCAGCTATTCAGGAGGCTGAGGCTGGAGAATCGCTTGAACCCAGGAGGCGGAGATTGCAGTGAGCTGAGATCACTCCATTGTAGTGCAGCCCAGTGACAAGTGTGAAACTCTATCTCAAAAAACAAAGACAGAAATAAAGTTTCCTGAGAGACAGAGGGTGAGCTTTGAGAATGCAGTTGTCCCCTGGAATCTGTGGAGGATGTTTCCTATGACCTCCCATGGATGCCAAAATCCAGGGATGCTCAGGTCTCTGATATAATGGTGTGGTAGGCTGAGTGCAATGACTCATGCCTGTAATCCCAGCATTTTGGGAGGCTGAGGGGGAAGGATCTCTTGAGGCCAGGAGTTCACTGGGCAATATAGTGATACTCCACCTCTAGAAAAAAATGAAAATATGGCCGGGCGCGGTGGCTCAAGCCTGTAATCCCAGCACTTTGGGAGGCCGAGGCGGGTGGATCACGAGGTCAAGAGATCAAGACCATCCTGGTCAACATGGTGAAACCCCGTCTCTA